ATTCACATTCCACACGTACTCCCTTATCCTGGTGTTCCACGTTTTCATTTCCTGCCACGATGAAGTTATGCAACATGTCCGGAGGATTCCCTTCCACACATCCAGTGCTATATTCTTGGGAAAACCCCACACCCACTCATTTTCCCTCTGCTCTGACCCTGTGCTGTAGTTTGCGGCTTTGAATGGAAAGGTGGGGCGGATAATGTTTTGGTAGGGAATCCCTCGTCGCCATAGAGACACGTCAGGCTGGAGGCAGGCAGATGTGAAAGAGCTCTTCACATGTGACTGAAAAGAGACGCTTCTGTGAGGCAGTGGAAATATTCCACCATGCACACACAGTGTTTTCATTTATCAGTCTGCTGACATGAGCAAACATTTTCAGCTCGGTTTCTTGTTCTAATGAGGATTAGTTCAACCAAAAATGAGAATTCTGTCATTAAACTCAACCATTATGTTCTTTCAACCCCGTATGGCATTCTTTCTTCTGTGGAACAAAACCTTTTTTTTTTGAAGAAATCTTTGTGCAGGTTTTTAACATTCAATGGCTGTTCTTCATCAATCTCCAAAAGAATACAAGCACAAATCTTCTGAATCCATGTGATGGCAACTGTGAGAAATAGATTGAAATGTATACAGTATAATCAGAGTCAGTGAGGTGGACTCAAGAATCAATCTTGATTTTTGAATAAATTGTTCGGTTCACTAATCTGGACCTAAAGTTAAACGTTTAGAATTAGGGTCTTAAAAATTCCAGCATATGGGTTTGGAAAGAAGAAAAATAAATAATGGCAAAATTTCCGTTTTTGGTAAATTACTCTGTGGTGAACCATAATGAAACCCTTTATGACATTTTCACTTTTTCATCTCATTTGTGGAGATATAAAGTTGTGGTATGTGAGGAAAAAAACTGTTTTCAAATGAAAAGCAAGACAGATAGAGTCTGAAAAATGGACGGATAAATGAAAGTATAAAAGAAAGGACATTTCTGCTGACCACCTGGGATTGAAGCCAGCTGATATCAGCATGACAAACCTACCTGCAAACACATGAGAGAGACAGACAGACAGACAGACAGACAGACAGACAGACAGACAGACAGACAGACAGACAGTTAACCAAACAGCACACCATGTGACGCACACACAGTCAAAAGATCTCTTGTTGTTTCATTTTGTGTTTGTTCACACTGTGACAAACACACACGCAGATAAACTGTCTCAGAGACACACAAACAACTCTTCTGTTCCTGTGCTCATATATTATGTCAATCTCTGTAGCCCACGGCCCTCCATGCTTCTGTGGTTGGCTCATGGAAAAGTCCAAGCAGTCTCTGAAAGTAATTCATATGTGTGTGTGTGTGTGTGTGTGTGTGTGTGTGTGTGTGTGTGTGTGTGTGTGTGTGTGTGTGTGTGAGTACGTGTAGACCACCTTGTGTTTAAGAGGAAAAAAAAGAAGAAAGCCGTTGCATGACACCATCTTTCTTCCCTGACCACGATCAGAGACAGAATGAGAAAGAAAGTGGAGGAATTCATTTCCCATTCCTTAAAACGTGTTGCTGCACTGACTCAGATACTGTGTTACTTGTTTCTAAGGCAACTGTGTTGTGCGTGTGAAGGGTGAGATGGTGGGATTACACTTTAACCATATTTAAAGACAATTGAATTATGAAATTACATTTAAAGGTGTACTTAAGTCCTACTTAAATTGGTCAAAAAAGCACTCTAAAGTAAATATTACCGCATTTAATACAATTTAAAACTATAATACCTTTTCATTTAATTGCAATTAATATGCAGTTACGTGTCCAAAAACATTACCGGTACATTCAGTTCACACTTAAGTATATTCTTTAAAATTGTATTATTACCATAAGTACTCTTATTTTTTTTAAAGTATGCTTAAGTGTACCATCACAAATGAATGTCAAATTTTGTGGTTAGATTTATAGATCTCTGTAAACCAACCATGTCATGCACACATGAAGTCAAAATGAGTATATTGTTATTTCTCTTCTATAGAGGAATAAACTATGCACAAATCCACAGTGCAAACAGTAACTAGCCATGCATTTTACACAGATTACACTAAATATGAACCATACTGTGGATAATAATAACGTAAAGTGAGTTCTGTCTCATGCTTTGAAAGGATCTAGCCTTTCAAAAGGGAACAAGTTCAAAGGGAATTTTTCTTGGGAATGTGAAATATAACTCCCCAGCTCTTATCGTTCCCCTCATACTCACATTTACTCACATTTTCCAATGGTTTCTAGTGGTGGAGTGCGTGTTTCCCTTCCTCTCTGCTCGCAGAACAATGCAACATTAACTTGAGAGAGGCACTTTGGGATGTGGGCTCACCAAGGTGACTGCCTGACTTCCTCTAACATGTTTCCATCTTACTGTTTCTTCCATTACAGCTGCTTTTACAGAATGTTGTTTTCACAAGATCAGCGACCTTCTGACCTTTGTGTCTTTAGTACTTAGATTAGATGCCCTTCTTTTCTAGTCCATACTTTTGATTGTGTAATAAAAATGTCTTGAGACTTTTCAGTACTGTTTGTGTTAGCCTGCTAGCATTAGCATCTAGCAAAGTTCATTACCTTCAAATTCTTTAGGGTAGTGTGTTGTTCGTCATACACCATAAGAAGGTATTTTGCTTGAGGGGACCTGGATTTAAATCTGGCCTGTGACATGACCTCTTCTCCCTTCATTTTCCTGTCAGATCTCCACTGTTTTATCTGATACATGCTAAAAGACCATAAATAAACCGACAGGCTTTACTTGGACCCCAAGAAATAGTTTGACAAGCACAGTTTTCTAAACATTGCTGATGTACTTACTATTGAACAGAAAGTTTGCCAATCTTGATATCGCTACACTAAAGAAAAAAAAAGAAAAAAATGTTGGGTTGCTTCAACCCATGTTTGGGTCAAATATATGGAAAACCCCAACTGGTTTAAATTAACCTTGGTTTAAGTTGTTCAATTAAACCAACGGTTGGGTTTGTCCATTTTTGTCCACACAATCCCGAATGTTTTAGCGTGTAGTCAGGTGCGGTTTTCGAAATAGCGTTAGATTCGGTTAGCGTTAGATTTTTCTCATGTTCAAGTTATACAGATTCAGAGCTATCCAGATAGTCATACAGATTCGTGTAAGCTGCTTGGTTTAAAAGTGACTTCTGTGTTAGTTGTGTCTCATACTGTACATTGCTACACTATTGACAATGGACAGTAGACCTTTTTTTGCCTGTGAAATTTCACTGAAATTTCGCTAATGTGACCACACCTTTAGGGGGAGGAGCCAGACAAGGCCATTAGAATGAAAATTTTCCAGAACTTTGACAGAGCTCTTATTGGTCTTAATAATTGGTTTACTCTAATATTTCTCTCTCTATTTGACACAAAATAAACTCTTGAATTTAAATTAATCAGGCATACTGTACATCATCCTCATGGTACAACCCAAATATTACAACCCAAACATGGTACAACCCAAACATTAATACATTAATTTGAAATCCGTCCATCCCCCTGTTGTCCCAGTATGACACATCTGTTTTGATATGTGGTTGGGGGAATTACAGTAGATTAATCCAAATCAGCAGCAGCAAACACCTTTACACTACGATAAGCTAACCAACACTTTGTTTGCTTGTTTGTTGATTCCATGTTTGTTGTTTTCTGTGTAGATCAGTTGTGCTTGCTTGATGCAGAGGAAAGAATAAATCAAACAATAAGAAAAGACAACCTTGTATTTGTTAGTTTGGCCTGGGAATGTTGGCAAAGACATTACCGGAGCAAAACGGGATGACTCAATGTATCACACTGATGGAAAATATGTCTCCTTTACAAACAAGTCAGAGCATTGTGCTGTAGAAAAAGAGTGCGCTTGGGAACAAGGGGCTTCGCGGGATGGAATGCAGGGAATTAGGGTCGGGCAGGAGGGTGGGAGACAGGTCGGAAGGGAAGGGCGATGAAAGAATGGAAGAACAATAAAAGAAAGAAAACAAAAACACTGTTGAGGAACATAAGAGGAACAGCAGTGCATTCTGCATATTCTCCCTGTGTCGACCTCTGTAGGAATTAATTTGTCATTTTTTAAATATAGCTCTTTCATATCCATTTTCTGCACATGCTTGTTTGACATTTGACACAATTTAAAAGGGCTATCTGTGAAATGGGGACCTGTTCGATTTTGAAAGTAATTTTTAAATTGAAGTTCTGTGACATGTTATACAGTTTATTACATAAAGAAGGCATATAAATTACATTGTGCCAGATCATCTCAAATAAAATGTTTAAATATATATTGAAAAGACACAAGACTATCTTTTATTTAACCATTTTATGAACATATTTACTAATACAGAGAGAAGTAAGGAAGGAATAAAAAAATGCTAATGCCAAAATAGAAGGTGTCTCTTGAAATGACCTTTTAAATGATACCTATCATAGAAGTGCATGATAAAGTGTTTGTAGTGACCCTATACACACATAAAATAATAACGGGGACCTCAGGGAAATCAAATGCTCTCCCTAAAATCAAATGCTCTCCCTAATAATGGTCTTGTTGTGAATTCAGCATATGGGTGGGTGTGTTTTTGTGAGTAAGGTCACCATCAATGCTAGTACGGATGCTGAACAATAGGGCCATTAAATGGGTTAAATAAAGACAGGACATTGATTGTTTTTGGCGGTGCTTAGTTTGGGGATCTATTACACGCTTTTGGCAAAGGATGCTTATTATTTTCTCATTTCCTTAAGGAGAGAGATACAACTCTGGGGAAAATAGATAGTGGTGCCTGAATAATGGTAGCATGTTGGTAGCTGGTAGTTAGGTTCTTTATTAGGTTATGGGCCTATGGCTCAAGTAAAAGGAGCCCGCCACAGATTCTCTCTGCTTGTATACCTTAATAAAGAAAGACAATTGTTTTGAGAATTATGTATGTGTGCTTGCCCTCATGGCAGTAAATTACATGACTATTTTGCTGTCTCTCTGCAGGACGAGGTGAAAATACCTTCAAAAGTCAATGTGGCCAAGTCTATGAGGTTTCCAGAGCCTGTGGAAGGAGAAGCTGAAGGTGAACTCAAAGCAGCCGCAGAGGAAGGAGGTGAGGACAGAGAGAAAGTCCATCTGGACCTGTCCTCTGATGAAGAGGAGGTGGAGATCGAGGAGACCATTGAGGAGTCTCGAGCAGAGCGCATCAAACGGAGCAGCCTGCAACGTGTCCAGACCATCAAAACCGCTTTCTCGAAGGGAAGTATGGAAAAAACCAAGCAAAAGACCAAGGATAACTTGGAGAAGACCAAACAGAAGACCAAAGCAAACCTGGAGAAAACTCGCATTAAGACCAAAGAGAACTTTGAAAAATCCAGGCAGAAGACCAAGGAGAACCTGGAGAAGACCAAACAGAAGACCAGAGAGAACCTGGAGAAAACACGTCACAACATAGAGAAAAAGATGGGCAAACTCACCAATCGCATGTCTGTGAACCCCGAACGCAAGGAGAAGATGATGACCTCGCAGAAGAAGGTGATGAAGTCTTTCACTCCGGACCACATCATCTATGCCCGCTCCAAAACGGCCGTCTACAAGGTTCCACCGTTCACCTTCCACGTGAAGAAGATCCGTGAGGGAGAATTGGAGATCCAGGGAACCGAGATGGTGGAAGTCGGCGGGGACATAGAGGAGGTGGAGAATGCAGTGATGGAGGGAGGAGAAGATGAGGAGATGGAGATGGATGATGGAGACATGGTTGAGGAAGACGACGAGACAGAAGACAGCCCTGAGATAAGGGCACTACTGGAGAGGGAAAACGAGCTGGTGTTGGTGGAAGACCATGACAGAGACAGCGATTAGTGTGTGTGTGTGTGTGTGTGTATGTGTGTGTATGTGTGTGTTCGGCGCTTACACATTAGAACATTTGATGGGTGGGAATGCATCAAATACGTTTTTAACCATGTTAATGAGCCGGCTCAGTTTGATATCAAGTGTCAATGCAGCAAGTATTTCATTTCTGAAAGCACAACTCCCCTAGATTGTAATTGATAATAAAAAAAGAAAAGCTTTTGGTTGCTAGAGCATCGGGCCATTTCGCCAAACCTAGATTTTTGTCCTCCCAGCCTTTGCGCCCATTGAAGTGTTGCAGCGTTCTTTGACATAGCGTAACCTCTATTGTGTAGGCGCCCTGTGCATGTGTGCTGTACTGCTGATCCAGATGTTGGATGTTGCAGGAGAATGTGAAAGTATCCGTTTGCATGTGTGTATTTACGTCTTTTCTAGCAGCAAAATGTTTCAAATATAAGGTGACTTCATTCACCTGATGTATGTGCGACTGAAAGATTTACTGTACTAGTCCAAGTAACTTAGTTCCTGGAGTTCACCTTGTTTGATAAGGGTATATGGGCAGGGACTAGGCGTGCTGACCAATAAGATGAAATACGGTTTCTGGAAACATTTTTATGCTAGTTGGAAAGAATGAACTGACATTTTTGACTATATGAAATAGATAGACTTGATCAAATGAACAACAGACTTCTCGGGCAGGTAGTTCTGTTGTAGTAGAAGATTATTTGGTCACACTTTATATTAGGTGGCCTTAACTACTATGCACTAACATTAAATACCCACATGACTATAGATTTACTGTATAGCCAAATGTTGTTTTGGAAAATTCCCACATTTCCTGCTAATGACTTTGAGGTATGGTTAGGTTTAGGAGTTAAGGCCACCTGATATAAAGTGTGACTGATTATTTTTCTTCTTGTTCTAGTCTCAGAGCTACAGACTGTTCTATGCTTTTCATAGAAGAAAATTGGAAGAACAAACCAAGATAAGAAAACCTGAAGTATTGCTTCTAAGTGCTCATTTTTACATATCTTTTTATATAGCTTAGAGTTTAATGAATAATTTTACATTTCCTTAAAACAGTCTGTCATAGTCAAACTGTTACACTGTTTTTTTCTGTCCCAATGTGACAAATCACACAAATGATAAATAGTTAAAAAAGAAGATGAAACCATTGAAACACCAAAAAAAAAAAGAAAAAGAAAAAAAAGAAAAAAAAAGACATGAATACACTTTTTATCCTCATAATATTTTGCATTGGTTTGCTGTCAAAATATATTGACTAAGAAGTATAATGATCTATAAAATGATCTTGGTTTCAGAATGGGATGTAAACTGCAATACTGTTTGTGTAACATTTGCATGTCCCCTGGTAGACATGTGTGGTATTGTTATAATAGGTCAACGAGCGATGAACCCTTCCTCATTTGTAGACCTAAGAGCACAAACATTTAATCATACCTATATGCAAAAATAGGTATGAACTGCAAAAAGCTATAGCTAATGTCATCAGCACCTCCTGATCTTGAATTGAATGCATATAATTATGAATCACTGCTATTACTTCATGTGTTACCTTCCTTCTCTTAATTGCTCAGATTGTATCATTTCAGTAATTGCGCTCTGCAAAACTTCTACTATAAGGAGCTTTTTTATTTAATTTTTGCTTGTGTAGCTGATGAAGCATATGAATACTCTCTTGTAATGTCACACGTCTTAACCACTAATGTGTTAATAAAAGCAACCATGCTTCACATTTCATGAGTTCTGCCTGACTGATCAAAATGAATGCATTAGTTTTGCACTTTATTGTTGCATTGTACTGTATAATTACAAGTACAGCAAGTATTTCTTCTTACTTCTTCTTACTTATACAGTTGTGGTCAGAATGAATGGCACCCCTGGTAAATATGACCAAAAACGGCTGTAAAACAATAAATCTGCATTGTTTATCCTTTTGATCCTTTGGGGGGGGGGGGGGGGCACCCATTTATTAAATACTTTTTGCAATCTCCTTTTGCCAAAATAACAGCTTTGAGTTTTCTCCTATAATGCCTGATGAGTTTGGAGAACACCTGACAAGATATAAGAGAACTTCAGATTCCCAGATCCATGTTGGTGCTTCTTCACTTCAGGTCACTAAACTCATCAGGTCAGGGAACTGGGATGGTCATGGCAGAAGCTTCATTTTGTGCCCCGTAGCACATTTATGTGTTGATTTTGATGTTTGTTTTGGACCGTTGTCCTGATGGAAGATCCAACCACGGCCCATTATAAGATTTCTAAGAGGCTGTCAGGTCTTAATTTTTTATCTGTTGATATTTGATAGAATCCACAATGCCATGTATCTGAACAAGAAAAATATGCCCACAACATTAAAGATCCAACGGTATATTAAATTGTACACATGGGGTACTTTTTATCCTTGTGTGTTCCAAACCCATCTAGCGTTTGCTGCCAAAAAGCTCTTTTTTTTTCTGTGCAGTTTGAAGTTCCAGTCGTGTCTGACAATTGTATTTTCTGGAGTTTGTTTTTGGATGAGCGAGGAGGATTTTTCTTGAAACCCTCCCAAACAACACGTGGTGATGTAGGTTTTTTTTTTTTTTTTTTTTTTTTTGTAGGCTTCTGACCCCAATAATCAACTAATCTCTGCAATTCTCCATCTGTGATCCTTGAAGAGTCTTTGGCCACTCAAACTCTCCTCCTCACCATGCATTAAGACAATATAGACACACGTCCTCTTCCTGGCAGATTCGTAACATCTTTAGTTGATTCAAACTTCTTAATTATTGCACTGATGGGCAAAATGGGGATTTTCAATTCTTTGGCTATTTTCATACAGCCACTCTATTTTGTGATGCTCAACAATCTTTTGATGCACATCAGAACTACACTGAACAAAATAATAAACGCAACACTTTTGTTTTTGCCCCCATTTTTCATGAGCTGAACTCAAAGATCTAAGACTTTTTCTATGTACACAAAAGACCTATTTTTCCTCAAATATTGTCTACAAATCTGTCTAAATCTGTTAGTGAGCACTTCTCCTTTGCCGAGATAATCCATCCACCTCACAGGTGTGGCATATCAAGATGCTGATTAGACAGCATGATTATTGCACAGGTGTGCCTTAGGCTGGCCACAATAAAAGGCCACTCTAAAATGTACAGTTTTACTGTACTGGGCTGTCCGGGGGGGGTCCGAAAACCAGTCAGTATCTGGTGTGATCACCATTTGCCTCACGCAGTGCAACACATCTCCTTCGCATAGAGTTGATCAGGTTGTTGATTGTGGCCTGTGGAATGTTGGTCCAGTCCTCTTCAATGGCTGTGCGAAGTTGCTGGATACCTGGAACACGCTGTCGTATACGCCGATCCAGAGCATCCCAAACATGCTCAATGGGTGACATGTCCGGTGAGTATGCTGGCCCTGCAAGAACTGGGATGTTTTCAGTTTCCAGGAATTGTGTACAGATCCTTCAACATGGGGCCGTGCATTATCATGCTGCAACATGAGGTGATGGTCGTTGATGAATGACACAACAATGGGCCTCAGGATCTCGTCACGGTGCATTCAAAATGCCATCAATAAAATGGGTTTGGTTTTACTCATTGTGATGGATGATTAAGGGATTTTGGCCTTTGTGTTTCCTCATATTTAAACTCATGTGAAACAAGAAGTCATAGCTAGACAATTTCATGTTCCTAGTCAGCCCTGGTGTGCTAAAAAAAAGGCAAATATTAATGGGAATACACTTCAGAGATGTTTTACTCGTAAAAATTCTAGGGGTGCCAATAATTGGGGCCAACCTGTTTTGGAGAAAAACATTTAGTTCATAATGTGACCCCCCCCCCCCCTCCCCCCCCCCCCCCCTCCCCCCTTTCACTTGCACTTATTTTACTTGCACATTTTTTTAATGAAAGATCAAAAGGATAAACAATGCGGATTTATTTTTTACAGCCATTTTTTATCATATTTACCAGGGGTGCCATTAATTCTGACCACAACTGTTATATGACTATAGAAAAGCCAATGAATTAATTGTTATACATTGAAAACATAAAGCGGATTTTATAATAAGTGTCTGTTGGAGGTGGTCCTCAACATTAAAAGTGTGGTTAAATAGAGCGCACACAAGAAACAAGTGATACATCGGTTTAATTTGATTTGCATTTTCAAACACAAAATGACTTTAGCATTGGGAATACAAAATATCTATCTATTTATATAAATATAACTATTCGAACTGTTGTCATTTGCATAGCTAAATAAATGCAGACGAGAATATTTTAATTCTGATCTCGTTTTATAATTGCCGAAAATCATAGACATACTCTCTGTACTGGTTTAGCTCTCACCAAAATTAGCAACAATTCATCATCACGTCTTTAACACAACAAAATAACTTACGAAACCATGCAGAGTGACAGTTACCATAAAGAAAACACATCTACTCCAAACATAAAAACATGCATTTAAAAATACAACTCATAACAAATCATGACGATCTTCACATAATACAAAATTACCTTGGGAGAGAAAACATTAAGTGTGAAGCTATAACTCTGCAATGCTTGCATGAAACATAAAGAGTAAAGATCACTGGTCATGCTAGTAAAGCTGATGCATGCAGTGCTTATCAGTGCCATTCACTAAGTTGCTCAGTAGATGAATGATTCACTGTTACCCTGGATGTGAGTGTACTCTGGGTATATCCACTTGTTACCATGACGATGGTTAGCGATGTGGCGCCTTCAGAGTAGCATCCACCTCTTCCTCTGTTTGAAGAACGTGCCACTGGGCCACTGGACGCCGGGGATTGGCCAGCATGTCTGACCAATGGCGTAGGCCGACACCTGTAGCGCCATAACCAATTAAGGTTTTGCCGATAGGGTCGTTGCTGCCCAGCTTGTCGTAGTCAAATACAGTGATGACGAGTTGGACTTTCTGCATTTGAATAGATTTGGACTTTAGAATATGAATTTATTCCATTTTACATGGTCATCTATAAATGTTCCATTCAAAATTTGTACACGCACAGTAATTGACACACTATAGGATATACCAGACGCAAGAATAATCACACATCACCTGAATCTGTTCAAATGGGACCTCAAAGCTGAAGCTCTCATTGAAGTATGGGTTCAGTGTGTTCTTTTTAACTGTAGTTTTCTTCTTTTTCAGACGCTTTCCGTTATGCTGTAGCACAATCTTCACATACGGATCTGACATAGGAAGTAGGATCGTTATCAAAGTGGTTCAAATGCAAGCGTAAAAAAATATATTAATAAAAATATAACTGTGAATACATGAAATGTACTATTCAAATTGTTTCAGACAGTGTTAGCAGTATTTTCCACATTTTAGAAAAATAGTAAAGTATACAAATATATATGAAATAGTAAAAAAAACTTTTTTTTATTTAATTTAATAAATAGTTACTCAACACATCCTTCTTCCAAAAGTTTTTTTTTTTGTCTTACTCTGATTCACCATGGTAAGCCTATTACCGTATAAGTGTTTATCCCTAGCGGGATAGTTTTCGCAGGAAATTGTGGACACACGTGACTCGACTGTGCATGTCTCGTCCAACCCAATCTCACGGCAATTTGTACGTATTTTACGAGGTGGCTAATTTTTGCTAAATTGTACATATTTGAATGACCTACCCCTGACCCCGCCCCTAAACCTACCCATCACTCGGGTTTAGACAAATCATACGAATTTATACGTACGAGATAGGTCTCGTCATATCCGTAAATAGAGGAAACTTGCTCTGGCTACTTTGACGTGTGTATGGTGTGTGATTTGCATAGTTTAGTTGTCACAATGAGCAAGAAAGTTTGCAAGAAGCAAAACACAGGAGAGTCTGCTGGCAAAAAGAAAACGCATATCCGAGTTCGTAATAAAACAAGAATCAACATTGGCTTGGCTTTTCAGAGATGGCGAGACCTGAGGGATTTGAAATGTTGTAAAAGTGATGCGGAGATGGTGTTTGTATTACTCAACAGGTGAGTATGGTATTATATTGAACAGAATGCCCAATGTAGCTCTCTAACAGAGTTCATCTTAAAGAAGCATTATCTATTGTGAAGGGTCGATCCATTATGGTTGTTGTAGCGCTGTGCTGGAATTTATCTTCAAGGAAGTACCGTGTGTATAGCTACAGTAATGTCAAGCTAATTAGCTTACTAATCTGGTTATATCTCTTAAGACTAGTGAATGTTTTATGAGCTGTAGGATGATCACATTCATCCGCACAGTCACGCAGAGCCGAAGCACAACCAACAATGTTCTTCCGCCAAAAGTTACATAGTGTACGCTACCTTTAATTTATGCAATTTTATAGATGTGATTTAATTTAAATCTATTTAAATATTTGAAATGAATTATGGATTGTACCTGATAAACCACCGACATCCATCTTCTTGAGATTTTTGGCCTCCATTATGTTGACGGTGAGTTTTCCAGCAGTGGGAACATAACGCAGAGAAATACAAACGTCTCCAAGTTTCTCCTGTTAAAGAGAAAAAAAGAAAGTGAATAGGTACAGCTTTAGAATATATACAGTTTATAAAGATTAGATATAATAATAAATACAGAACAGATACAAAATAGATACAAATATTGACAGGAAATACTATGTACCTCCTCCTTTTCTCCATTTTCAAGATCTCTCCATTCATGCAGTGGCTGTGCGAGATCCACACAGTTCATAGGAATCTTTATCTGGCCAATCACATCATGTTTACCAAACCGATCAAAGTCAAACACCTGCAGCACCAAAGTTTTACCGCCCAACTCAGCATAGGGAATCTATAAGTGAGCCACAAACATATTAGCTCAAATTAGTCTATAAACATAAGTGTTTATGTTTTCCAGTGTTAATATTTCATAAAACATTGAGATGTCTTTAGTAAAATGCTGAAAATCCAAAAAAGAGATTCAGCAACATCAGAAACCATTTCAAATGCTTTCTGATGCTGATAATTAAAGGAATAATTCGTCCAAAAAATGTACATTTTGCCAGTATTTAGTCACCTTTATGTTGAAAAAAAAGAAAGAACATAATGTAGAATGTTTACGCAGCCCTTTTCCATTAATGGCAGTCTATGGTGACCATGTGACAGAATGGTCACTACATGAACTGTCGCTGTATGGAAAAGGACAGTGTGAACATTCTTGAAAAAAAATCTCTTTTTTTTTGAATAGTCAATATGGTTTGGAACAACATGAGGGTGAATAAATTATAATTATTATAATAAACATTCCTTTTTAGTACATTGTTACGTGTTCATTTTTACGTGAACTATTCCTTCAAAAATGTATTTAACCTCAGAGATACCTGGATAGCTGTCAATCAAAAAATGAATGACAAAACCAGTGTAGGGAAGCAGGGATTTCTGGGAACTTAAGATGCCACACAAGGAGACAAAACCCTGACACAAAACCTGAGAGAGAGAGAGAAATGGACAAACAAACTACAGGTGGAACTAAACAGACGCTAGAACACTCAAAAAGACAAAACTACAGACAATAAAACCACATGTTCACGCTAACACATATATAAATCATCGTGTACAGAATCCGGCTACGTACTACAGTATTCAAACAAACAACATTTAAGAAAAACCTTGAAGATAAAGGTCTCGTTGAAGACAGGGCAGAGGTTTTTGCGCTGGACTTTGGTTTCAAACTTCTTCTTCTTGTCTGGAAGCAGGTAAACTTTTACATATGGGTCAGATGTGCCGCCAATATCCATAGCAGGAAGATCTTGAGCCTGAAGAACTCCGACTATCAGCTGTTGACACCAAATTAATGTTGATTCCCTTTTCTTGTTACAGTGACGTCATCACAACTTTTTATCAAGTATTTTCAAACATCAGGAATGCACCTGAGCATCAGTGAAGTTGTAATCCAAAGAGAATTCCAGTTTTCCCAGATTTTCATGCTCCTCTTTTTGCTCTTCTCCCTCCTTTTTTTCTCCTTCCTCCTGCAAGATTGATAGTCAGTTTATTAAAGCGTGCCTATGCAATATGTAAATGATATTAATCAAAATGTATTTTATGAAATCTAGAAACTGTTACTATACTCACTATATTTCACACACACACACACACACACACACACACACACACACACACACACACACACACACACACACACACACGCACACACGCACGCATGCACGCACACGCACACACACACACACACACACACACACACACACACACACACACACACACACACACACACACACACACACACACACACACACACACACACACACACACACACACACACACACACACACACACACACACACACACACACACACACACACACACACACACACACACACATTCTATAATGAACCATAATGAAAAATATACAGTTTTTTACAATCACTTTGCTACTATTTTCAGAACATTGATGTCATTTTTCAAAACTCTAGACACAAAACTCAAAACGGTTATCACTTGTAACACAGGCTGTCTAATGTTCAAAACATTGCATTGCGCATTCACATCTTTAAAGAAATCTTGCACTTGCACAATCATTGGTTCAAAAAACAAATTTACTGTGAAATACCATTGAAACATAACTATAGATCACCCACACACAAGCAACCGATAGTTTCACTGTGTCATTGTTCGTACAATCATTAAATATTGTAGAACAAAATAGGTGATACAGGTTTCATTATGGTACTACATGTACAGTAAATACATCTCTGTAAAAGTACTGCAGTAGTAGAGAGAATACAGACATAGTGGAATCATTGAACAAAGTGTGTAATATATTGATGCAAAACACTAAAGTACAATCACAACATAGGTTTATTGGAATCAAAGCAAAAATATAAAATATTAGGCTACATCCATGGATATTGTAGTCTAATTGGTTCATGCTCCATGCTAATTGGTGACAATGAATCTCATTATCTTGAAACTTTCATGATTTACTGTAAACGTGGAAGATTGTGTGTCTGTTTCCATACAACTATGCATTAAGAGTACTGCAACAGTTACTTATCATTTTGAGCAGTTGTATCAATTGATAGTTAGATCATTGTAAGGAAATGAATAGACACTCATTTGAAATGTAATGTGTGAATTGCCTTTTGAAATAGTAGTACTTTGATGTTAAGTTGTGTCATATTGAACAGGTGATTTTTGTTGAATGAACAAATGATCTAAGTTTTATGTGTATTGTATCCAAGCAATTGAGAAAAGGGTTAGAGTTTTGAAAAATGTGCATTTTGATCATTGGTTGTGAGTTTTGTGTCTAGAGTTGTAAAAAATGACATCAAGGTTCTGAAAATAGTAACAAAGTGATTGTAAAAAACTGTAAAAGAACTTTGAAATCGACACACACACACACACACACGCGCATTCTATAATGAACCATAATGAAAAATATAAAAGAACTTTGAAATCGAGGTTGTGTTTATGTACACTTTATTTTAGGGTGACATGGTTACACGTTATGTACTTACTATAGAAATAACAGTTATACATAATTAGAAGTAACTAACCCTAAAAAAAACCTAACCCTATAGTAAGTAAATGTAGTTATTACTAAGTACTTACTTGTGTAATTACACAGTAACAACATCACCCTAAAATAAAGTGAAACCTGTAATTGTTCTTGGACCTTTTTTTCTCCTTCACCCTCTTTTTCAGTCCCTTCTACTTTTTTCCGTGCTGCTCTCTTTCTCTCTCGAGCTTTCTTGGATTTCTTCTTCTTGCCGAAGCATTTCTTGAACATGCAATATGTAAAACAAGCCACAAGGGCGAGCACCACCACCACGATGGCTCCTACAGCCCACATCGGCACTAAGGGGAGCAGAGAGCTGGTCAGTCTCCATGGAAACAGGTACAGGACAGCACACAGGACAATACTCGCTTAGTGTCTTATGACATCAACTCAATGTGCTTTTACAGTTTTTCTCGATTGCTTAAACACTATAACCAGGCTTTTGAACTAAAATTTCAAAACCATAATGCCATTTATCAAAAAGCACACCCATTTCACTGAACTATGAACACTATTCCCTTGTTTTGACACATTAGTCAGATTTGCTGAACTGTCACAGCAAAACTCTACACACAAATCCCTTCATTTCTCATTGCCTACACCACGTGGTCATTTAGAAAGCACTAGCATTCAAAATTGTTCACTCAAGTCAGCTCAGCTTCAGCTCAGTTAGCACACAATTACCCAGGTGGAAACACTAAGAGTCAAAATTGAACACACATCAGTCAGATCCTTCAATAGATAGATAAAAGGTTATACAATCTTTTATAAAAGATAAAAATCAGTTTACTGAGTTTTGGAACAATGGATCCACAGAGAAATTACAGTAAGCAATAGGTCGAGGAGGGGGAGGGAGAGGAGGAGGAGGAGGAGGAAGAGGAGGAGGAAGAGGAGGAGGAGGAGGAGGAGGAGGAAGAGGAGGAGGAGGAGGAGGAAGAGGAGGAGGAGGAAGAGGATGAGGAAGAGGTGGAGGAAGAGGAGGAGGAGGAGGAGGAGGAAGGGCAAGGGCAAGAAGACAAGCAGTCTCGGATTAAATTCAAGCCACTTTAGTTGGCCATGTTGTCCATGGTATGACTATGAGGGAGGCTGGGCAACGAGTACAGACAAATTTGAGTCGCTTCACCGTCGCCTGAACGTCGCTTCACCATCATCAGAACCTTCAGGGAGGTGTGGTGGCAAACAGATTTCTATCACTGAATAAGAGACAAACATTTCCAATTGTCTTTGATGAGGTTTATGTTCTTGCCAGAAAAGGCCAGCAGTCGTACAGTCACACAGAGTGGCTGCAGAGTGTGACAGTGAAGGGAGGGCATCCTTTCTCCTTTATCTTGACTCCCAGAATGTTATCTTTCTAGGCCAATGATGGTATTTCAACCATATGTGGAACATTCTTAGACTTGTTCATCATATTGTATCCTTGAGTGGAGGCATGTACCAACACTCTTTACCATTCCAATACAATTCCATATTTGAATAAGGTTTGTGTGTGCTCTTTTACTGTCATATGATGCTCACACACATCTTGAGTAGAAGCGAGTAAAAAAAAAAAGATGGATGGACCACAAGCAACATGACTTACCAGTTTTGGAAATGTTGTTTTGAATTTATAGCACCAGTGTGTAAGACTATGTTGTAGTGTGTGTATTTTTGAGGGCTTGTGTGTCCTGTCTGAGGGCAAAGTTTGGTTTTTCAGCAAGAGTGAATGGTTTTGAGTGTAGAGCTTCATTTTGACCTGAAAATAGGATGTTTGGGGAATTGGGTGAGACGTTATGGATTTGTGTTTACTGTTTTGAGAATACGAGGCATAGTTTCAAGAAATGTGTTTAAGCAATCGAGAAAAACTGTAATTTGAAATTATCATCGTCTATAAAGCTGAACAAAAACATAAATCAAAGTGCTCCATTTATGTAATTTCACATCTCATCAAATGCAGGTAATGACTCAGAGAATAGATGAAAATGAAGAATGATATTGTTTCCTGTCAGGTTACACAATCACAACAAGATCAGTGAATTCCGAATTTTAATGACATTAAGCGCAGTGAGTTGAGGAGCTGAACAGAATTATTTATAAATGTAATAAATCAACTGTCTGATCTACATTTACTCTCTTCATTGTGCTGGTTTTGTGTTTCCATCCACACATTTATTAATTGATGGATGGATGGATGGACAGACAGACAGACAGACAGACAGACAGACAGACAGACAGACAGACAGACAGACAGATAGATAGATAGATAGATAGATAGATAGATAGATAGATAGATAGATAGATAGATAGATAGACAGACAGACAGACAGACAGACAGACAGACAGACAGACAGACAGACAGACAGACAGACAGACAGACAGACAGACAGACAGATAGATAGATAGATAGATAAGATAGATAGATAGATAGATAGATAGATAGATAGATAGATAGATAGATAGATAGATAGATAGATAGATAGATAGATAGATAGATAGATAGATAGACTGTAAACATTAGCATTATTGTTGGTTTAACTTAAAAAAGTAACCGGTTGCCTTAAAATTTTAAGTTCATTGAAATTAAAAAAATAAGTTAATAAAATGGAGATTGGTTTAATCAACAGAAACTCACAAAAGTATGTTATCTGAACCACATAAATTATCTAAGTTGATTTGACAAAAGAAAAAAAAGTTGTGATAACAAAGCATGATTTTATTTACAGTGTAGACAGACAGACATACAGACAGATGATAGATAGATAGACAGACAGACAGACAAGACAGATAGACAGACAGATGATAGATAGATAGATAGATAGATAGATAGATAGATAGATAGATAGATAGATAGATAGATAGATAGATAGATAGATAGATAGATAGATAGATAGATAGATAGATAGATAGATAGATAGATAGATAAGAAGAAATGCTATTCAATGAATCAAACACATTAATGTGCTGTATATGTAATTGTGATGCAAGAAAGTAAACTCATCTCTTTGCTTGCTTACTCTTCTGTTAACTTGAGTAAATAATGTAGGTACTTACATGGAAGATGTTCCAGCTCATTCATGAACTTGCTCTTCATGTTCTCATAGTCATGATGAGTTGGGGGAGCAGGATGTGGCTCGTGTTCTGGTTTGGGCTGTGGTTCAGGTTCAGGTTCAGGTTCTGGTTCTGCTGGTTCAGCAGTCCTCCGAACACGAACACCCATATTCACAAACCTCATCCCAGCCATGTGTCAAGAATCAAATGCACAGCCTGAAAATAACATAACGCAAAAAGACAGAGGATGTATGGAAGAAACTGTTCAGTAAGTCTCACAAAACCCGTAAAGAAATACACAATGCCTGAATTAGAAACATCTTTATCATGAAGGTAAATAAAAGAAAAAAACTCTTCAAAGTCATTCTTGACTTGCTGAAGGGTTTTTCTAATCTTTTCTTTTATTAAGAAAATTGAAAAACCATATAAGCAACAACTAGTGCACTAAATTATCTAAACAGCAATCTTTATTCTTGGCTCTGAATATGATTGTGATCACAGTTTTTTTTCTTTTTATTGTGAAAGAGAAACCGAGTTTCCTTGGAAACATGACAGCGCAGGAGTCAGTGCTAAAACCAGCTCAAACAATTAGTCGTATACAGTTATTACTAATTCTGTACTGTACACTGACTATGCACGCATTCAAAAGTTGAGCCTTTGGTTCACATCTAATATCTCCTGAAATACAATTTTCTGTACATGTATGTGCATGTATGTTCCCTAAAGCCATGATAACAAACATGGCTGATTCTAATCCATGATGTATTTACCCTCCTTTGCCATACCATCCATCCACCCCCATCTTTACTGGTCTGTGTCTCTCTCTCTCTCTTTCTCTCTCCCATGCGTAACAAGATTATGGGGGGACAGAACCAAAGCTCAGATAACTCAGATAAACAAGGCACCTCTTCGAAAAATTATATCTTTCTCTCTACATTGATTGACTGATTCATGACAGGAAACACATCCATCTTCTTTAATACCTGTTTATCAATAAGCACTGCACAATGTTTCTAGTCCATGAGTAATTTGTGCAACGTCTAATTTTGTTTTCAGATTTTTGCAGATTTATGGAACTAATGAAAATCCCTGAATGCTTATGTTTTTCAGTTTTATTGAAGGTGATTAAATCAATATTTTATGGGGTAATGTCCCTGGGGGTTATGTTCCAACTGTGGCTAAAATTACAACAAAAATATTGTTTGTAGGACTATGAAAAGTACACGACCCTATATATAGAGCAATTCATTGTTTTCCATAATCATTAATCATTTATTTGAAGTAGCCTTATTCCTTTGTCACGATGATTTATTTGCTAACCATCATTGCTTTGAATTACTTAAATGTAACTTCTCTGTAACCCCTTCATCTACACTATCATAGAGCGTGGGGCAGATTATTTTTACTATAGTTCTTTTAACCTAAATTCTGTTACGTCTTGATTTGCAATAAAAATAAATATAGCCTACCTTTTTTTCTTTAGCTCCATTTGACTATTTATACATCAAATACAATCTACTTTGTGAGCTTCTACATTTCTCATAGATGCATGAAATAAATATCGCTATTAAAAGTTCATTATTATTTCTAAAAGCTGTGTTAAGTGTGGACGCGCCCTGCACGCGCTCTCCAAACGCGCTGCACCATTCGCAGGAACGCGAGCGTTATTAATCGATTTCGCGCTGATCTCCAGCAACAGGTTACGATGGTAATGCACACATTAATGAAATATCGCCTCGCGTTACATATTCACAAAATTCGTTTCACATTTCAAAAAAAAAAAAAAAAAAAAAAAAAAAACACTGAAATGATTTATCTTGAAAATGTGTACGTTGCTGATGTGTGTCCTGTCTGGTCTGCTAAAGTGTGATATGAAAATGAAAGAATGCCTCTAAGAAAAAAAAAAAATCCTACCTGATAAACGAATTCCTCTGGATATGTTAGGAAATACCTAAGTTTACATGAATAAGATGTCCAGGCTTGTTTGCCCATGCAGCAGCCCTCAGGCAGACATGCTGAATTGTGTATATTGTGATAAGTGTGCTGGTGATTTAACCCCCTCCCCATCAGCTTTAAGCTCAAGTGCTTTCAAATCATTAAAGCACCACTAATCTCTCTCCCCCTCCCCATCACATCTGTTATGCAGTTATAGAATGTTTCTCCATTAATTCACCAGTCATATAAACCACGCCTCTATCTTTATTTTAGGTATGTTATTGAAAAAAATAAATAAAAAATCCTCCCCAGTGATGAATATATGTTAATCTTGTGCTCATTTCCGTCGAGAGCTCTTATTTACGTGACTGCAGAGCATCAACTGCCCATCTAATCCACACAAAACATCATGCTCGACATTGTTCCCATCTGGGACACGTTGTGGATGAAAATAGCCGTTCTGCCCTGATAATCTTTGATCACAGATTACACTTGCTTTTCTTTTTTCCCAATCAATAAATCAGAAAGTATTGTTACTAAGCATGTTCTCTCTACAGTCATGTAAAATCAACCCTTTTTGATAATTTCTGTACAGCTATTGATCTAAATTTACTGATTTTGTATGGAAGTTTTGTACATTGGGGTTTGATATAGCACAAGAACTATACAGTCAAGGACCATGGATGCTAGTGTGCATGGCCACAGGCTTTTGTTATGTTTAGTATAGCATACTACTATACTACTACTTTATGTATACTAAGTCTAATAGGCACATTTTGGGTTAGGTGGGTTGGATCTGACCTTGTTTGTGCTGTAAAGAGGCCTACACTTATTTTGACAGACATGTACCAAAGAACATGTAAAGCACTTGATTGATTATTGTTTCAACTGTAGTTACAAATATATTTAAACACAAACCATTCCATTTTCCGATGGAATTGCATAAAATATATTTTTAGTTAAAATACTTGTCAGTACACTTTAAAGCCAACAGAAGATGATGACATTACATCTAAATGTACATTCTACATTCTAATTCAACTAATTGTAAATTTTAAATATGATACATTTTCATTTTAATTAACATGCAATCAAGCATCCAAAAAATTACATTCATTTTGCATATAAATGAATTCAAGTGCATTATTTCTTAAATAAGTACTATTTAAAAGTTGCAGGAGTTTTATTGAAATCAACATAGGACAAGGAAGATGACTGGAATGGATAGAAACATCAGATTAAACAGCATTCAAAACCTGACCCGGACTTATCTTAGTTTCAGCCTTTATATCGGCTCCACACACGCTAATGACGAAAGTCAGGTCAGGATAAAGTCCCCATGAAATCAAGCGAAACGATCGCTCATTTAAAAAATAAATAACAAAGTTTAAGTTTTATAAGCTCAAATGGCCGCCTTGCTCTGTTCTGTGTGACTCTCCTGTTCGAACTCGTTCATCAAAATGAACGAATCTTTTTTCGCGTCATTTGATTCATTTAACGAACGAAATGAACGAATTGACTCGGAAAAAGATTCGTTAATTTTGATGAACAAGTTCGAACAGGAGAGTCACACAGAACAGAGCAAGGCGGGCATTTGAGCTTATAAAACTTAAACTTTGTTATTTATTTGTTAAACGAGCGATCGTTTCGCTTGATAAGACCCTTATTCATCGTCTGGTGTCGTTTAAAGCCCTTTGAACAGTTTGCAGTTTGCACTGAAACTGTCTTTTGGACCTTGAACCATTTGGTGCCCAGTAAAGTGCATTATATTGAGAAAAATCCTGGAATGTTTTCATCAAAAACCTTCATTTCTTTTCGACTTAAGAAAGAAAGACATGGACATCTTGGATGACATGGGGGTGAGTAAATTATCAGCAAAAGTTTTTTTAAAAGTGAACTACTCCTTTAAGGTTATATATAAGCTTGTGAGTTCCAAAACAATAAAAAAAAATTCGCATTTAGAAATTTGCATTCAAAACAGTCTCTGCACCACCAATATAAAATAATGATTTTGATGACATCACTCTGCACTTCAGCTTCTCATCAGATTTTCTGTCCAATCAAATGCTCTCTAGAATCTAAAGCTCCCCGCCCCCAACACTAGTCGCTGAAGCTGCGGATGAAATCGTTCACTTGTTCACACAATTACTATTTTTTATATGAGAATGGCACATAATGTGATAGGGAACGATTCAGACAGTGTACAAAATGTTTTCCATTGGGGCGAATCAAGTCTGGTTTCACGTCAGTGTCACCTGAACCACCGCAGTGCACACACAGTTTGCTCTGTTCCAGAGACAGAGCGAATTGACGCCAAAATGTATCGGACTCGGACCCACTTGAATTCTACACAGAATGGTATATTTAAAAGCGATATGGAGGAGATTTGGACAGACTCAGCATTAGAAACGGCACTGATGAGTATAACATCAGTGCCATGCACACATATAAATTACACACTTTTCAAACCGCACAATATAAACTAAACGCTATTGGCTATTTTAAAAAAAGGGGAGGGGCTGCTTGATATGTCCCGCCCTGTCTTTCTGTTTCAGTGGAAATTGTCAACAACACACTGAATAACGTGTTTCAGTGGGCCTTTAAAGCTCTGGGAAGCACGAGCATGTGAATGACAGAACAGAGTCCAGGGTGATTGTGACAGTAGTGTACTTCTTTTTAACAAGGAATGCTCATCAAAAACAACTTACAAATGAAAATAATTCTGGTGTCTTTATATTTTAGATACACATCACAATGTCATGATTCAATACTTCACAATGTAGAATTTCTCCTGGTGTATTTTCTGTTGTCTGTCAGTGAAAAGGCTACTTTCCATTCTTAAAATTCACAAACTAAACACAATCAGATTGAATCAGATTTATCAGAAAAACTTGATTTTATTTAAATTTATTTTATGATTTGAAAAGGAATATGCTAGACGTAAGTGTTAGCATGATGTAGGCCTCATGCAAGACATCAAACACCTCTTTCTGCATTCACAGCATCCTTTAGATTCATTATTGAAAGGGTTAACTCAACAGTTTAATGGAGCATGAACCCATCCCTGCCAAAAGAGGCGGAGCTTAACCTCACAATCACTTATAATTGCCATTCAGCTGCTGGTGACAACATTGATTTTCTGCTTCCTGACTGAAACACCTTTTCTTACAGGTAAGAGTTGTTTTAAGAGTTGTGTTACAAACGCTCATTACAGTGAGACGCGGGTAATTGAGAAATCGTATTTTACTCATGATTTACCAATAGATACACAATGAAATGAACAAGTGTAAATGATTTCTTGGGCTCAACACAGGCAGTGTGTAGCATTCACCTGACTTTACTGGACTTTGACCTCTTAGTGAATGTTTAGTGATAAGGCAGCAAGATGAAACTGTGAACATGAAACATTTATGAAAGCAGAATTCACGAGAAGATTTAGCCATTAAAAAAGCCGGACTTTTTTTCTCTATTTCTAACAAGTACATACATGAACAATAGACAGAACACACACCCACATCATGAGCCAGTCTCAAAGGCTTTTTTTATGTAGTTTGTACAGTGTATTCATACAATGCTCTGTGCACATATTCTCTTTTGTTCCTTTTGCTATATATATAGCAAAGTTAATATATTCATTGAGAGGACTAAATGTCCCCACAAAAATAGTAAAATGTGACAATTTTGACATTGTGACGCCATTTAGGCGGCCCCACGAGGAAAACAGCTTATTAATCTTGGTATAAGTGATGTTTTTTGAAAATTTAATTTTTGAATGTTTTCTCTGATAGGTTTAGGGTTCGGGTTACTGTAGGGGGATAGAATATACAGTTTGTACAGTATAAAAATCATTACGTCTATGGACAATCTACGTAAAGATATTAAAACAAGTTTCTCTCTCTCTCCCTGTGTGTGTGTGTGTGTGTGTGTGTGTGTGTGTGTGTGTGTGTGTGTGTGTGTGTGTGTGAGAGAGTGTTCTTTAGAATGTTAGTCAGCACATCGAAATAAGTGTACACCTTTAAAGCATGACAAAATATTATTAAACAATTCCAAATGTACTTGAAAGTAAAATGAATGTTAAGAAATTCAAATATTTCTACTAAAAGTATAAAGTATGTTAAGAAAACAAGTGTAGTCTTGTCTTGTCGTAGAATTACTCTATTTAGGTACACTTATTTGGCCTTTTATTTTATTAATGTTATATTATATACAAGTACAGTTTCTAAAAAATATTCTTTTAAAATCTGAAATACACTACATGTGCATATGCAATGCAATTGAGCACACTTCTTTTTTCACAAGGGTATAGTAGTAATAGTTTTTTCTTTGAGTATGAGGAGTTCCTGGTTGATTTCTAATGTATATACATTTGTTTAAGTTTAATAAACCAAAATTGCAGATGTATGCCACATCAGCAGATGTTTATCAAGAGCATTTTATTTTGCATTGTATTGCATATGATTTTACTGAAATGGATAGCAAGCCATCACAGCTGAGGCATAAAAAGAAAAAAAGGAATAACTGAATTACCGCTATAGCAAATAAACAAAATAAAAGCTCCTGCTCAACAACTGGAGGAGCTTCATCTGTGTACGTCCCTGATGCGAGCTGTTTCATAAAGTGGTGGGGACAAAAATGACGCCTATATTCTATTCCTCCTTATTACGTCGTCATGGCTGGATGGGCCAAGTTTCTGAACACCTCAAAAGTATAGTTGATATGTAAATATGGACGGCCATGTACTCTTTTCAGATGTACAGTGGTTCCGAAGTCTTCCACTGAAATGAATGTCACTGTTACCTATAGTCTTTGTTATTTCATCACTTAGCACTACTTGTATTTAATGAATCCAGGCCCATGTTAAATCTGCCACCTCATTCGTGTTTTTATTCCTCTTGTTGTTCTTTGTGCGGGTTTCCGACGCAGTCCATTTATTTATGACGTCACTTTGTTTTTCTTCCCTCCTCTACCATAGTGATGTCATCTTCCACCCCTTTCCTGTCTAAGGAGTTGTTCCAGTGCTCTGTGTGTCTGAATGTTTTCACCCATCCCGTGTCCCTTCCATGTGGTCATACGTTTTGCCAGTCATGTATCCTAGCTCAGTGGACAGCATCTGGCTCCTCCCATTGCCCCAAATGCTCCGCAGTTTTCCAGGAAACACCAGAGCTCCGTGAAAATTCTTTTGCTCATGAGATGGCCGAGCAAATCCGCAAGCAGAGGGGTCAGAGGTCATCAGAATATCGTCCAGTCACATCATACAATGTTTCATGTGACATGTGCCCTTTGGAGAAAGCATCCCGTGCTGTAAAGTCTTGCCTGGTGTGTGTGGCGTCATACTGCGAGGTGCATGTGACGTCCCACACCTCCAGGTTCACCAAGCACAAGCTCGTGCAGCCACAGCGGATGGACAAGCGAATTTGCAGGATACATGAAAGACCCTTGGAGCTTTTCTGCAGATACGACCAGTCTGCAGTTTGTGTGTTGTGCATGAATACAGAACACAACACACACCACACAATACCAGTGGAGACAGAATGGGCAGAGAGAAAGGTTTGGGCGCATTTGGATGCAACTTGACTTATCAATGATTATGATTTTAATCAAAAACAACGGTAACACAACATAATATTTGGTCCCACTTTTTATTAGATCTCTTTATGTGCATGTAGTAACATTTAAATTAATCTGTTCATACAATGCACTCATTTTTTTAAATACATGCTTTTACGTTGTATATATATAAAAAACATGCATGCTGTTTCACTGTTGACCCTTAAACCTAACCATACCACCAAACCTGTCCCTAACAGTATCCTGTATCCCACCCCAATAGCACTAAAAGTGTTTTACAATACAACATGAACACAATAAGTAATGTAAATATAGTTAAAGACACATAATATAAAACATTGACCTAATGTTGTATTGCCAAATATTCTAATATGTACTGTACATATGTATAACTTACGAGAAGGGTTATATGTTGTCATAACAAATTTGGTTTCTCGATAGAGAAAATATTTAGGAATTTTACTTCTATTTATACTTCTTTTACTGGAAAACAAATGTTGTGTAAGGAAACACAGGAACGTGAAGACAAACAATGAAACATAATATAACCTCCACGTATGAAGCATTTTCAGATCATTTGTTTTCTCAGAGAGACATTATTTTTATTTTCATCTGTAGTTCTGATAACTATAATGAATTCAGATTTTTACATTTGAATTTGAATCATTATTCTTGATGATTATCATGAGAAGAACCTCAGTACTGTCTGGACACAGCCATTTTTTTCAAATCAGCTTGTGTTTTTGTTTTACAGCTGCTCTAGTGTCATTTATGTATTTTCACGAGACAGAATTGCGATCTGTGTTCTCTCTGTGTTTGTCATAGACTCAGTTATTAAAGACACAGTCTGACCTGAAGCAGATGATTGTGGAGAGATGGAGTAAAGTTGAGGAACTCAAACACTCTATAAAACTAAACAAAGTAAGAACCTGCAAACTACATCTTTAATTTTTGTTTTAATTTGGCAGATGCTTTTATCAAAAGCGGATTACAAATGAACTCTTTAATACATTCTAAATGTAATTAATTTTAAAATATTGTACTTTGTAAACAAGATACAAGGGTGACATCAACCATTGGCTTACTGAAATTAAATAGTACATTAAAATAGATTTTAAACCTGCCATAGGTATAGTCATAAATATAGTCAACTGCTAAACTTACCAAAGTATGAATGCATTTCGCACAAGCCCATTCTTGTTTTATTGCCTGTTATTAATCTTTTAGGACAACACAGAAAGAGAGATGGCATACAGTGTTGAGGTCTTCAGTGCACTGCAGCAGTTTATTGAAAAGAGCCAGTCTCAGATGCTCAGAAAGATGAAACACAAGCAGAAAACTGTAGAGAAACATGTAGAGGGCCTTCTTAAAGAGCTGGAAGTAGAAATCGCTAAACTGAACGCAAGAAACTCTGAGCTGGAAAAGCTCTCATGCTCTGAAGACCATCTTTACATGATACAGGTGACTCTTCTGTGCATCTTTTCAGCCAGATCATACCTGTTCTTCTTGTTAATCAACAACAATAATAACATAATATTTATATTTCAATATCAACTTAACACGTTGTTCAGTGAAATACTGAAGGTTGTGAGGATGTTGACTTTAATTGAAGTACTTGTATTTTGACCCTTCCAGGCTTTCCGTAGCCCAAGTGAGTTGCCTCAGTGTAAAAGCTGGTCTCAGATCAGTGTGCACACCTGTCAGGGTATGGAGGTGCTGAGAGAAACCCTGAAAGCTGCAGAAGAACTGCTGAAAACACAAATATACACCGTCACAAAGAGAGGTTAATGCTTCTTTGTTATTTGACAGCTAAAACAACGTAATGTTAATTTTCACATACACAAACAAGTTATTATTATTGTAATGGAAAATGTAATTTTGTTTAAACTTAATAGGACATTTTCTTTTTCAACAGAACTTGAGGTCATTTCCCAGTATGCAGGTATTATAAGATTATTAATATATGGAGTTATGAATCTTCGATAGACTGACTATAACACCAATCTATTGAACTCTTCCTTTCATTTTGAAACTGAAGTGTCATTTTTTTTATACCCCATAACTAAGTAACTTGTAGATTAATTCCTCTGAAAAGTCTAAATATTGTGTTTCTGTAGTGATATCAAAACAGTTTTTTTTCCCGAGCATCCCAACCAGCCTAACAGAATTGGCACAAACACTAGTCTGAGCTTGGGGAAGTACAGCTTTTTTACTGTAATTTAAACATTTCCACTTGGTAATGCAAGAGCAGAAATTACACACAACAGCTTGAAGTTGATTGTTATTACATGAAAATCTGAACAACTTGAATCTTTATTTGTAAATCTTTTAAAGGGGTCATAATGCCATTTTTGTACAAGCTAATATGATTCTTTAGGGTCTAAATTAAAGGTTTGTAATATACTTTAATTAAAAATTCTCATTAGTATTGTAAGAAAACAGTTATTTTACCTGGTCAAAAACAGCTCTGTTTTCAGCACGCCGTTTCAGTGCATATGACTTTAAATGATCATGAGCTTTGCTCACTCCGCCCCTCTGTTCTATGCGTACACCATTTGTAACTCAATAACACAATAACCATAACGCGTTGTTCAGTATAAACGTGGGATTATGAATTATATTGAGAACGTCAAACATAGAAAACATGCCGTAATGCACCCTGAGTGTAAACCTTAGACGCATTCATTGTGAAGCGTGCAGCTAGCGATTTGCAAAGATTAATATATTAATATAAAGTTTAATAAAACGTTACACTCACTTCCGTTCTTCTGGAGATTCAGCAGGAACACGAATATCTGGTACCGATCCTTTTTTCATGAGCAGCTTCTTAGCAAATCCAGCTTTATACTGACCCTCGATTATAAAGCAGTCTGGTGAGAAATGATTCGGCAAACATGAGAGCATTGACGTTGCTCGTGGGGAATATTCCCTTCGAAAACAAACTCAGCCACTGCGTCTTCAGCGGTTCGGATTTAGGAACATTAAAATGACTGCTGTGTTCGTTATTACATCCAAGAACAGAACACCACAATCGCTTAGACGCCATTCTGCTCATAGACAGTGCTCCAGCATATCAACAATGACCGCGCCTGTCTGCCCGAGATAGGTCCGACTGCAGTACCGCAGAACCATACGTCATAGCAGTGTGAGGATGACAGCGCCAGCCTGACAGTCTGATGCCGGAAGTGGGCGTGGCCAGGCATTGCGCTACTTCTGTGTTTTAGAACGATTTAATTAAAGATATGTTTAAGATGTGTATTTATTTGAGGGGCGGCAGTGGCTCAGTGGTTCATGTAGGTTGTCTACAAACCAGAAGGTTGGTGGTTCAATCCCCGGTTCCACCTGACCAAGTGTCGAGGTGTCCATGAGCAAGACATCTAACCCCAGCTGCTCCCGACGAGCTGGATGGCGCCTTGCATGGCTGCCGTCGCCCGTTGGTGTATGAATGAGTGAGTGAATGGGTGAATGTGAGGCAAATTGTAAAATGCTTTGGTGGCCATTGGGTCTGTGAAAGCGCTATATAAATGCAGTCCATTTACCATATATATATATATAGTTGTGTGTATATATACAGGTGAAACTCGAAAAATTAGAATATTGTGCAAAAGTTCATGTAATTCAGTAATTCAAATTAAAAGGTGAAACTAATATATTTAGTATATATAACTATACATATGCATGATTATACTTTTCAGAGGTATTTAAAACCTCTGAAGTATTTCAGAGTATTTAAAATCCTTTTTTTGTATTGATTTCATGTAATATTCTAATTTTCTGAGATTTTAAATTTGGGGTTTTCATAATCTGTAAGCCATAATTATCAAAATGATAACTTTTGCACGATATTCGAATATTTCGAGTTGCACCTGTATGTGTATATATATATATATATCAAATATTATAAAATATAATAATTATTTGTCCTATTAACAAAAGACAATATACTACCAATAAAAATGCTTTTCAATTCAATCAAATGTTCAAGCTTTGTTTTAATTTTATTATTATTTTTGTTTAAAGCTTTATTCAATTTATATTGTTAATCATTTGACACAACAAATGGATAAAGTATAATTTTAACTTTTAAAAAACTATTTTGTTAATACTCAACCATTTCACAACTAACATTTTTTTTTCATAGACCAAACAACATAATTCTATGGTGGACTGAAACAAAAATTATTAATTAAATACAATTATTTTTTCCCTCTGAAATGGCAAAAGCATCACACACAGATGTACCTGCTCTAAATAGCTAAATAATAGTAATTAAATAAAAATAAAAAATCGAACTAAATAAAATAAATTATAAAAAACAAAATCAAACCAAAGAAAATAAAAGCGAGTGTCATGACGAAAGGCGCCTCATGAAATCATCAGGATTAACTCCGTATGGAGTTTTGATCTATTTAGTTTATTTGTCACTTGAGAATTATTGTTAAATGTGTGCCTGCATAACTTTAATAAGATTTATTTTCTTTGGTTTGATTTTGTTTTATATAATTTATTTATTTTATTTATTTTGATTTTATATTTTGATTTAATTACTATTATTTATTTGGAGCAGGTACAGCTAGTGTGTGATGCTTTTGCTATTTCAGAGGGGGGAAAAACACATTTTATTTAAAAAATGCTTTTCAATTAAATCAAATGTTCAAATGCTCAAGCTTTGTTTTCGTTTTATTATTTTGTTTGTTTTAAGATTTGTTTAATTTATATTGTTAATCATTTGACACAAAACAGATGCATAAAGTATCATTTTAACTTAAAAAACACTATTAACATTTGTTAATAGGCTACATTGCCTGTCTTTTGTTAATAGGACAAAACATAGTTATTATACTTTATAATTTTATAAATATTATATTTTATAATATTTGATATATATATATATATATATAGGCCTATCTCTTAAATATATATTTTGAACGAAATCGTTAAAAAATGTATTCATAATAGCATTGTTTTAAACTTTCTAAAACACAGAAGTAGTGCAATGCCTGGCCACGCCCACTTCCGGCATCATACTGTCAGGCTGGCGCTGTCGTCCTCACACTGCTATGACGTATGGTTCTGCGGTTCTGCAGTCGGTTACTATTGGGGTCTGCCCGGACTATGATTGACAGCTCTCTCACGAGCGAGGGCGGGTCTGTATTGAAACGCTCCTGTCAATCAACAATCGTGGGAGGGGCTTCCGACCGTGTGACGTCACACGGTTGAACGGCTTGATTTGAGGCAGGGGAAAACATATAAGGAGATTAAAACAAAAACACTGGATGGATTTTTATCATTTTATGATGGTTGTGTACAGGCACTGCCAACACACATTTCAGTACAATCAACTTGTAAAAGTGCATGTACCATTATATGACCCCTTTAACAATCTTGAATTTTTGATTGATTCTTTGAACTATATTGAATGTTAACTTGAATATTTAAGCAAATCTGATTCTTCCATGATTCTTTAAACCTTCTTGAATCTTTAGTTAAATCTTGAATCAACAATCTTGAATCTTTACTTGAGTCGGACCATCATTAATTTTTACTTGAATCTTTGAACGACCTTGAATATTTCCTTGAAGTTTTTAACCATTTTAAATCTTTAATTGAATCTTTTTGAACCTTCTTAAATTTGTACTTGAATATCTGAAACATATTGAATTTACTTGAATATTTAAACTACCTTGAACTCTTACTTGAATCCTTAAACAGTCTTAAATCTTTACTTTAATCTATGAACCATTTAGAATTTTTTTCCAGTCTTTAGTCCATTTTGAATCTTTAATTGAAACTTTGAACCTTCTTGAATTTTTACTTGCATATACATCTGAAACATTGAAGGTTTACTTGAATCTTTAAACCATATTGAACTTTTGAATCCTTAAACAGTCTCAAATCCTTACTTAAATCTTTGAACCATCTTAAATCTTTACTTGATTCATAATGAATCTACTTGAATCATTGAACAATCTTTTATTTTTTCTTGAATCTTTGAACCTTCTTGAATCTTTACTTGAATCTATAATGATCTTTTAATTTTTTCTTGATTCTTTAACAACCTTTACTTTTTTTAATCTTTAAACAATCTTTACTTGAATCCTTAACAGTCTTTGAACCATCTTGAACGTTTACTTGAATTTTAAACAACACTGAATCTTTACTTAAATCCTTGAACAATCTTGAATCCTTACTCAAATCTTTATAAATACATCTACACCTTTTCAACATATATCAACATTTCTCCCTGGTACATTTCCAAACTACTTCTTTGTTATTGTAAAATGTGGATACACTGTAAGAACAAATGCATACAGAGCTATCCTGGTTTGGGGAAAATGCATGACAAATGTCATACACCATTATTTTATTTAATAAAAAAACTTAATTTGACTTTTCCTGATGTCATTTTTGCAGCGGATATTACCCTTGACCCTGACACAGCAAACCCCTGGTTGGTGGTGTCTGCAGACAGGAAGTGTGTGACTGACAGCAACGTAGAACACAACGTTTCAAACAACGTTCAACGTTTTGACTCTGTACCTTGCGTCCTGTCAAGAGAGTTCATCTCAAAGGGAAGGAGTTATTGGGAAGTAGGAGTCTCAGGTAAAACAGCATGGGACTTGGGAGTAGCCAAGAAATCAGTCAACAGAAAGGGTTTGGTGACACTGAGCCCAGAGGATGGTTACTGGGCAGTTTGTCTGAGAGGGGGCAGTGAGTACAGGGCCTGTGACCGTGAATCAGTGCTTCTGTCACTAAAGACTCTTCCGCAGAAAATTGGCATATATGTGGATTTTGAAAAGGGACAGGTATCATTTTATGATACGAGTGCATGCGCACATATGTACTCATTCACTGGACAGTGCTTTAATGAGAGCTTACTGGCCTACTTCAACCCAGACATGAATGACACAGGACATAACAACGCACCACTTGTTATCCAACCTGTCAATGATGACAATGGGGATACTGTGACAATATGAAGACTGAAAATCAACAAAAACAGAAATTAACAGAAAAACAAATTAAAGTTCGTCAGATTGAAGAAAATTGATATAGAGTGATTATAATTGTTAAGCTGTACAAATATTCTTTTTGATATGTGATGAATAAACTAGGCTATATATCTAAACAGTTAAATAATGCAATGAGAACACAAACCACTGTTTATTCCACATATTGCCCATTTAACATTTGTGATTCATAGATAAATAAAATATCACTTGAAATTTAATGTGTATAATTTATCCAGTCACACCAATTTTCACTTTATGGAGATTTTCCGATTTTATACTGTACAAACTGTATGTTAATCCCCTAACCCTATAGCCCAGCACATGACAAGGAAAAACAAGATATCATGGCCTCAAATTAAAGGCCCCCTGAAATCAAAATTTAAGATTTTTAGATTTTAGTTTGAATATGTTAGCCTTAAGGTTATGAATAAGCTGGTGTGTGTTACAAAACAATGACAAAATTCACATTTAGGAGATATAAGCATTCGAAACTTACAGTCTCTCACTTCCGCTAAAATGTATCTTGTATTTTTTATGACTTCAACTTCTCATCACATCTTCTGTCCAATCAAATTCTCTCTAAAATCTAAAGCGTCCCGCCCCTATGCTATAAATACCACATGGCCTAAGCGACAGTTGACATGTCACAGAGCAATATGGGTTGGAGGTGTGATTTCGGTTGCTCAAAGGCACACTTTTATTCCATTTTCCAACTGTATGTTAGTTAAGAATGAAATGGCTAGAATATATTCACACCTACACTATTGAATCCAACGTATCATCAGCGCTCAAATTCGCTTCCATGGTGCACTCAAGGACGACTTGCAGTCTGTGAGGTAAACTAAACGCTATTGGCTATTTCAAAAGGGGGAGGAGCCATTCAATTTGTACCGCCTTAGCTTCCTGTTTCAGTGGAAATGACGTCAACGCATCATACAAAGCTGCGTGTTCCAAGGCACTTCAGTGGGCCTTTAAGAATTTGTTTTTACAACTTAATAACAACGTAACTATGACTTTTCTTATACCATTTTTATAATGTGGAGGATTATGGACATCTTTTCAAGTTTAGCTCAATTCTAGGTACACATTTGGGTTTCACTTTATTTTGATGATCCCTTTAACACATTCTGTTGACTAACCTGTCTTCTAACTCTCATTAGAGTGTTAGTAGAGTATTAGTAGACTGGTAGGGTTAGAGTAAGAATAAGTTGACATGTAGATGCAAAGTTACTTATAGTCAACAGAATGTTCGAAAGGAACCATCAAAATGAAGTGTTACAAATAGCTACACTGTCATGATTGGTCGTGGTTTTGTGTTCATGCTATCTGTATAAGCTTCAGCAGATGTGGAGCTTGGCCCTTCACTGCTCCACGGTCCAGGCCATGATCCAGTTCCCTTTCACAGGCCTGCCCCTGGTCCGCCTCTGCTCCACCACCCTCCTGTAGATTTTATTGTTTTGGTTTTGGGGTGGGTGTTCCATTAGGTGTCAAGAGCCGCCCTTTGAGGGGGAAATATGTCACGATTGGTTGTGGATTTGTGTTCATGCCTTTTATTTTGTTGTTTGGTACCTGTTTCCTGCATAGACAGTAAAAGAAATGGGCACAGCGACTGAGAGTTGAAGCCCAACATGGGCACTCACTTCCTGATAGCCAAGCGTTCTGCGCAGGCTCAAACTAGCTTGACGACGTAGTTGTCACGTGAGCAACCGTTCTGACCTTCTAGTAGCTGTGCCGGGAAAAATCTGAATTGAAATCTGAAACAAATCTGTTGTTGAAATATTTTGTCCCGTTGCTTTTATGAACTCTCTATCTATGGGCTTCTCCCTTGACTTTATGCCTCCATGTCCACCCGATTGCCTCATAGACAGTAAACGATTGCCTACGAGCTTCTACTTCTGTCTATACGGTAATTTCTCTACTGTGCGACAGAGCGTCCCGTGGTTATGACGCAATCGTTTGCCTATTTTTACAAGAATGGCTTCTACAGGGCCATAACGTAAGATACAAAGTAATGGAGCCTTTTATACATTGTCGTGTTTCTTTAGAAATAAATAATGGACAAATAGAGTCTTTGGACGCCTCAGATGTAAAGTTATTCGCTGTCAAAGTGACGCCAAAATGAATGGGAGTCAATGGGATGCTAACAGCAGGTGATAGCCAGCTACAATGGCGGCCCCCGGAGGCAGCTTCAACTTCCGGCTGATGGATTATCCCCTTGGTTTCCTGTCATGTTTTTCTCATGTCCTCATGTGATCATGTTGTGCTTCCCTTGTCTCGTCATATTCTGATTGGTTGTTCTTGTCATGTGTTCATCAGTTCTGTTTTGTCATTGGTTCATTGTCTTGATCATGCTCAGTGTTGTCTTGTTAATCATTAAACTTTTGTGTATAAATAGTCCTCATGCTTTGTTGTTCCTTTGTCTAGCTCTGTTTGTGTAACCGCTATCGGTGAGTCTGTTTTTGTTCATGTTATGTTTCAAGCCATGTTTGTTTCAAGTTATCGTTTTGGATCACTTTTGGATTTAAATAAACTGCATGGGTTCTGTCAACTAGAGTGGACATTACACAAACACACACACACATGCACGCACACACACACACGCACGCACGCACACACACTACATAATCTCCCTTTCATCCTTGTAATCTGATTTTCTCCAGTGACCTCCTGTTCTTGTCTTTACTACAAACACAACAGCCAATCAGATTATTAGACAGCTACACTACAGCCAATCACATTAGACAAGGGTTCTCAAACCATATGTTGCTCATCTTAATAATTACCGTCTTTTAGCATTTGTTTGTGCATCAGGCAGTCAATGAACAATGTTGTTTGTTCCAAGGGAACATATGACATATTTGCATTTATACACAGTGTATTTGTAATTGAGAAATGCTGTGAGAATGGCAGGAACACATTTGACAGGAGGAGGTGCAGAGAGAGAGAGATTAAGCAGATTAAAGTTGGATTGATGAGACAGCGTCTTTCCAAGTAAAAGAGAAACTAACAATCAGACCCAAAACAAGAGAGTTTTTTACGCTGCTACTGATGATGAGTTGACTTTGAGGAAGACCACAGTGAAGAGGATAGACCTGTTGAAGGAATATAAATGACACAGACAGGTGCTGAGAGGAGGATTAACACTCACTAAAGCGCAGGAGACACACACACACTCCAACAGGTATGTGACTGAGAAAACTTTGCACAGTTTATCTATGTCATCTATGTCTTCCTTTCCATCTGTATCATTATCATAATAATTTTCAGATTAGGACGTTTTCGTTTATTAAAGGAAGTTGCAATAATATTGTCAATCTAAAGCTTGTGTCCATGCACCTGTTTGCCTTCACTAGTAAATTAGAAATGGTTCTGCTGTGTGACAAATTAATTTATCAAGTACTTGATTCTAAATATATTTAATGCAGATTCAGTCTCTCAATCAATATGAGGTCATGAAAGCATGCATAAGAATAATTAAATAAATAGAATTTAAAAAAAGTGTTTTAGATGGAAAAAATTGGGTACGGTAAGATTTTTTAAAACGTGTTTTTTTAAATGTTGCTTTGAAGATTTAAAATAAAAACATCTGTAATTTTTTTATATTATTAATAAATAATGTTTTAGAATATAATTTATTTCTGTGATGGCAAAGCTGAATTTTCTGTCATTATGTCATTACTGCATAATATGCTGATTTGGTGCTAAAGAAACATGTCAGTGTTGAAAACAGCTCTGATGTTTAATGTTATTTTGTTAACTTAAACTTCAATTAAGTTAAACTTTAATTAACTCTAGGGGTGCTTCTTAATACTCAAATTGATGCTTCCTCGTTTCCTCGCTTCTCCATCCTGTAAGGTCAGACCCTAAAGGGAACCTTTATAGTTTAAACCATACATCTCACATATTTCAACAGGGCATCTTGCTTTATAACTATTTAATATGAATTTATGAAATAATCAAACTTTAACAACATAAGAGCAGATCCCTTCAGCGCAGCTTTGGCCTGTTTACACCTAAGATCGGATCGGATCACAAGGGAGACACATACCTGTTTACACCTGGTATTTTAATCCGTCTCTTTTGTCCTGATTTCTTTGAGGGGAGGGTCTATGGATGGGTAAATGTATGGTTTTTTTTTCTGATCTTTCGATCTAATGAACAAAATGAGCTCACGTAATTTACACATGAAGCGTCTGGAGTCGACGTAAAACACACAGAAAGCAGCAGCTTTCGTTTCTGCACTGAAATCTACAAGACCACGACGAACACTAGTGTGTGTTAGAAATCAGAAATGGTGAGAAAACATTGTGCATGGTATGTTTTCGTCTCCAAACAAAACTTGGGTCTCCAGCCGACAAAGTATCACTTCTGGCTAGCGTGTTTCCCTTAAAGGACAAGTTCGGTATTTTACACTTAAAGCCCTGTTTTAAGATCGTTTCTGATGAAATAGAACGGTTAAGATTGAAATTTGGACACATGCTGCTGGCCCGAGAATTTTCGGTTTCTGTGGTTGCACCCCCCACCTCCACAATGTTATAGGTGCACTGGAACAATCCTTCCTAAAACGCATTCGACTTTAGTTTACAAAGACGTGAAACTCACCGAGTGGTCTGGGGTGTTCACTGATATGCTCACACAAAAATTGCTGCAAAAGATGCTTTCCTACAGGTTTTATCGTAGTTTTTGTCCAAGTCAAGTTATTCTGTCCTAGATGCGTGTTCCATCTACGCAACACTGACAGATAGCTAACAGGAGTCAGAAAAGGGGCAGACGCAGGAGTAAAGTTGAAAGTTTTACTGTGATATTCTTTCCTCTTCTTTCTCTTTTTTGTAAAACTGAAATATACAAAGGTTACAAATGTCTTGTTACAAAATGTTCTCAAAATTAACACAAATAAATTTCCGAATATTCTCTGAGCACATATACCAAAGGCTACAATCAGCTCTGCCTAGTGTTATTGTTAACAAATTGCAATCACTACTAAATAGTTCGTTTTTAAACTCAAACTA